ATTATTATTGTTATTATTATTATTGTTATTATTGTTATTGTTATTATTATTATTGTTATTATTATTGTTATTGTCATTATTATTATTATTGTTATTATTATTATTATCATTGTTATCATTATCATTGTTATCATTATCATTATTATCATTATCATTATTATTATCATTATTGTTATTATTATTATTATTGTTATTATTATTATTATTATTCTCTGAGCTATTGCTCAAGATAATGGCTTCCCTTCACTCAGTCATCCGAAAGTTTTGCCATCTCAATTCAGCCCTGCTGCGTGATGCGACAATAATCGAAGGCGAGAAGCCTTGGATTTAATTCAGTCCTAGCCTCTCAGCATCAGACTGTGTGTGCATTGCGCATTTTTGAAACGGCGAAAGGAAAAATCTCACCTTCGGGACAAAGGCCCCTTTAAGCCAGGAATTAGAAGAGCGGCTGTCGCGGCCAATATGCGGACTTTCCTGCTTGTCTTCATGCTAAAATATTAAACCATAATTTACAGGATCCGTTATTTTCCAGGAAAAAAAAATTTTTTTTCTCCTCAACATGGCCGAAAGGAGAGATGGGAAGGAAGACGGGGGGGGAGGAGGCAGGAACGGATAAGGAGAGAAGAGAACCGGGGCGAGAGGGGGATGTATAAGGGGAGAGGAAAACTCGCTCAGCTGAGGGTCACTAAAACAAAGTTAAGTTAAACGCAGCAGAGCTTGAATTGGGAGGGGAGGAGGAGGGAGGGCAAAGGGAGCGGAAGGTGGGGAGGGGAAGGAAGAGGGGACAAGCAGTGCAAAACATACAAGCAGTACGGTTCATGCGTTAATGATTAGCATGGACGACGACGGACGGTGTATGCTAGTTTCAGCAAAATCACATAAATTTGTACATTTAGATCGAGAGTCCAAGAATTCGAAATGAGTCACAGGGTGGGTGGACTAGTTAGCACGCCAGAGGTGAACGAGGCCTGATGCATCAAAGAAAACACTGCCCTCGGAAGGAAGGAAAAGAAAATTGAGCTGGAAAAAAAAACATTAAAACAGCAAAATTGTTACAAATAAAAAGTCGGGAAACAAGAAAATTCGAGAAAAATTGAGTCCAAAACAAACTTTCAACAAAACCTCTAAAAACAAAGTTCCAATAGCAGATATTTAGCACAATAGCGAGAACTGTTCAAACCGTGAGAATAGCAGAAGGACTAATTTTAACATCTCAGACAAAAGCAGCAGTTTTCTGCGATGTGAACCAACTATGCTGACTCCCGCTAAATCGTTTCACACACAGTATAGAGGTTCACATGGACAACGCGGGCTTTTAAAAATGCAATTAAAACTGAATTTGAAATCTTTAGCTCACATAAACACAATGGAACATTCCTGTGAAATTTTAGCTTTCAATTTTTCCGAAACTGCCAGTCCATCAAACAATTTACATGGATTTTTTTTAGATGTCCGTAGGACCCAGATGTAC